TCTTAGCGTATGTTTTGCCAGCTCTTACAGTTTCTTAAATTTGGAACTGGTGGTAGTTATTATAGTTGAGGAATAAATTAATATTAACTAAGTAGTAAGTAGCACCTAATCCTTAACACATGGGTATGTTACTTATTTATTTATTTATTTATTTATTTATTTATTTTTAGGGAAATAACAGCATTAATTTTTACATAAAAAATATAACATTAGTTTAAACAATTGCCTAGGTAATTTCCACTATTAATTATCTCACATAGTGTCTAATAAACACGAGAGAAAAAAGAAACAATTTTTGGTATCATAATGAACATAAACAAAACAAAAAGAAATAAGAATTTTGTGCCTAAAACAAGTTAAAAAATTAGTTTTTTAAATTTCAAAAAATTAAGATTAAATATATCAATGTGACTATATTTAGAGTTATATGATTTCATAGCTCGCACAATGTAGCGATTACTTGCATAATTAGTCCGACCCGCGGGAATGCAAAACGTATCACGTGCTCGTAGATTTGCTCTTGGACACTTTAGCAAAATTTTACTTAAAAGATATGAAGAATCGACAAGACCATTTATAACCTTGTGAAGCAAGACCAAGTCTCTGCACTCTCTTCGGTGTGCCAGGGATCGAACGTCATCCTCACAAAAATCATTGTATTTGTATTTCATCCTTGTAATGAATTTATTTTGTACTTTTTCTATCGCGCTTATGTGTGTTAAGTACTGCGGATTCCATACCGTTGAAGCGTACTCTAGTTGAGATCTTACATAACTGTTATATAGAAGTAATAGAGTTTCTATGTTTTTAAAATCTTTGCCCTGCCTAAATATGAAACCCAACATTTTATACGCTTTGGCTGTAATTTTATGAAAATGAGACGTAAAATACAATTGACTGTCCATTATCACCCCCAGGTCTCTCACCTCAGACTTTTTAGTAAGATCTTTGGCAAAAAGTTTATAATTAAATTTTATTTCAGTTTTTTTTCTGCTAAAGGTTATGGAACTACATTTACATACTGGCAGAACATAAAATAGAATACATAATGCAACAGCGTAGATATCGGCCCATACCGTAAAAGCACTAAACGCCAGGCAAGAAAGTTACAAACCTTAACTTCCTGGCTGCCAGGTTAGCTTATCCTACGCTTTTGACATTCAAACTATATCCGCAAAGAGGGTTTGTTAACTCTCCCATAATGCGAACAGCTATAAGGAGGTGGGACTCGTAACCTGTTGATGTGCTTCCTGAACTTTACAACTTTGACCTCCATAAAGCTCAAGTGAATCGGCTCTTCTAGGTGAACATGTTTAGTCCTCCATCTCTCTTTCTCATCTGGAGATATTGAGGTTGTTTGACCTATTTAGTACTAAAAACCCAAATTTTGATATACCTAAATCTTATTATTTAAACCATTAAATTTTTATTTTTTTTATTGTTATAATCCAATAAATTTTAAACCAACATTTTTATCTAGGAAAACTTACATACTCTAATGATAAATCATGAAAACTATCGATTAAAAACAGTTCCAAACACTTAAACAACAGGTATTTACCAGCTTAGGTTAAGTTATGCGGCTGTTACGAACTTTGTGGTAATAACACTTTTCAGGGAAATCTTCAAGAATTATGTAAATCTTTTATATCAGGCATGTTTGCTTAGTAACCTGTTCATAGGCATTTTATTAAATGATTGAAACGAATGAAACAATGATATGGGTAAAGGTACAATTCCACCATGGGCTGCAGGCGACAACCGCAGGCGACACTGCGGCTGACCGTGCATTATATGCATTGTGCAGGCGCGGCAAGTCGCCGCGCTCGGAATCAATTTCATAGAGATTCATAGAAACTAGTAGTGTCGCCAGCAGTCTGCAGCTGCGGCCTGTAGTCTGCTGTTCAGTTTGGACTTATACCTTAACTTATGTAAATTTTATATTTTTTAAATATGTTCCAAACGGTTTCAAAACAATTTGACATTAATTTAGGAATAGGGTATTTGACAGTATTAAAAATAAAGTGCCAATTGTTAGCATCTGTGTTTAGATTAAATATTGGCAGGGGTTTTTACTATTTTTACAAAAATTCATAATTTTATTAAAAACACTCGAAAAAGATATTAGTTTTCTTATCTATTGTCACGTGACCCAAAACGCTAGGAATTGGCGGAGCCTAAAATGACGTCACACGCAAGTAAACTTCCGGTTAAAGTGACATTACATTGTATCGTTTGACGTTTTAATAACAGTCGTGTGACGTCACACACTAGTAAGACGCCATATTGTCCAGAGAAACGTTTTCGCGGCAACTTGAAAATGGAGTTTTTGATTTGGTTGTTTTTACTGAAATACACGACAGAATGATGAATATCTTTTTACGTACTCCATAAACATTAGTCAATAACGTGAGATCGTTGCCTAAAACTTGTCAAATACCCCATAAAATAAATATATCAAAACGAGAATAAATTTTTGATATCAATATACACCGTGTTCCTGAGGTTATACATTAACTTTGGCATGTTATTCCGACTATTAAATTGATCATTTTTTACTATGGACACTTTTATGAATTCCAATTTCTTTAACATTTTTTATTTTCATACAAACTAAATGCTTAGATGTAATTTATCTAATATGAATTACTCTTTACCTGAGCTGGCAACGTCGCATTTGAAACTTTGGTTCACATGTCCACATAAACTTTTTAAAACTTTTCTTGACGTCAACAATGTTTTTTAAAATTTTGACTTTTGAAACTATGACTTAATGACCATTGACAAAGAGTTGATAGTTTTGGTTGCACAAAGTGGCAACATCTCACATATAAAGACTCTTTCTCACTGCACAACACAATTAAGTTGGTTAAACTTAAATTACCAATAACGTAAAAAGTATGCTATTTAAACTACTACTTTCCTTGTACGATATGTTTAACAAGAGCTATAGAAGTTATTCAAAGTGTATTGTTTTTCCTCGCTTTCATGAGCGCTTTCAATTGACTGTCGAAATTTGTCGTAATATCAAATTACTTTTTTCAAATCTTACAATAAATGTTCGAATCAAATATAATCGTACGTAGATAGTATATATATAGTTTGTATATAGTATGAGAATTTCTTTGTAAATAAAAACTAAAAAGTTGAAAAAGCACACGTGTAAAAAAAACTTAAAACTCTTTCATTTGAAGAATCCAATGTTGGAAGAGGGAAAAACATAGGCAAACTGTAGTTTACTTATGTTTTTCCCTCTTCCAACTACTTGTAAGTAGCTTCATGAAATAAGTTGAGTGCTTAAATAATTTCTTTGTGCAAAAATGAAAAGCGTTTGTTAAAGTCGTAAAGGCCCGCTTAGACTCGTCAACCGTACCGTCTTCCAAAGCGACCTTCGTGTTACGTCTTCGTTTTGTGAATAGTATTTTTATAAACATAGTTTTTCTAATAGGCAACTGTAAATAATAATAATAAAGAATCAATATTTATTCAAGCCTCAGTGCATTCTTATTTACTTTATTTTGGAAAACAAATTTATAAGAGCTTTTATTTTTATAGCGCTTTTTTTGATCGTGTTCAGGGTGATAACGTGGTAAAAAAATAATAAAACCTTTTTGTTGCTAATACATTAAACGTCGATGCTTAATCAACGTCATTATAAGGGCTCGGTTGCTGTCTCAAATATCCCAAGGGTAGGAATCGGCAAGTTGCCAGAAATGCGTGAACCTACAACATGCTCACTTACTATAGGTACCTACCTATACCCTTGTACCCTTGTGACCGTGTGTCCTCCAGTCTATCAAGGGCACGCCAAGGATAAACTGACGTTCATATGTTTTCTTGATATTGAACTTGAACAAATCAAAGAGTCTACTAGCTACGCCAACGCTTTATGTAATTATCTATTTGCTAATTTGATCTAAGGCTTAGACTAGGTATTTATATATTCGAAACAAAATGGTGGAATGATATTATTATTTAGTTTGAAATAGGTTGGTAGTATAAGTATAAGTACATGTGGTATTATACTTTACAAAACGTGTATCAGAAATTCAAAAAATAACGTACAACCTGAAAGAAGTAGTTTACGTATAGGAAAATAAAAGAATCAGTGATTTTTATTTATTGAGTTTAAGCAGTGATATCTCGATTTAGGAAAATTGTCAAATACGCCGTTGCATTTAAAAATATCTCTTATCACCTTGTATTATGTATCATATCTTTTGTTTATTAATCATGAAATTAATGCAATTATTTTTTAGACCTTTTTTTATCGAAATCGATTCAGAAGTATTCTTATGGTTACGACAAATTATCGAAGGAAAAAAAATGTAGTCGTATTTTTTCTGGTTTTAACTTTTTGCATGAACTTTACATAGAGCTTTTTTAAACCAAAATTAAGGAAGCTCTACAATTACTCACATAAATATCTAATACTTATTTTAAAATACGTGTGGGTACACAATGTATCACGATTCATTTCGCTGTCCGTTTATTGTTTCAGGTTACAACCTCGTGTGGTATTTAGAGAATCCACATTCAGTGGGACAACTGGATTGTAGGAGGTGAATCAGCTGTGAGTTCGTTCACACGAGGCGCAGGCGGTAACGGCCGCACGGTGCGTGTGTGACATGCGCCGACGCAGCGCGGCCAGTACACACTCGCGCCCGCATCGACGCCGCACTCCCACCGACTGATAACCCACCTCCAACCAGCTGCCAAGTTTCGATTTCATCAGCTACGGCGCTCTCATTCCGTAGTCGCACGTCTGCGTAAACAGACGCCCGTCGTGCGAGACAACACAAACTCCGAACTGGCAACACGCTCGATCGAATTTCAAACATTGAAGTTCACTCGAAATGACGTAGAAGTGCCATTGCGCGGCTGTTATCAAATGTTGTGAAGTAAATAAATCGTGTTACGTAAAAAATAATATCTGTGCAGACTGTGAAAGTTGCAGAATTGTGTGCAATAGGATAGAAAGTGTTACCAATTAGTGCAATATGACGTCGCGGTCTAAGGAAAAGGTGGCAGCCGCTTTCCGGAAGTTGTTCCGATCTCCAGAGAAGCTTGACAATGACGGAGCTGGGCCCAGCGGCTCTCCGGCTCGGCGGGGCCTGCTGAGACGACACAGGTACAGACCTTTTGATTGAACTTTACATTTCTAAGTACGCTTATTTTTTCTGAAAATTCTGTAGGCTAAACTTATGCAAGCTTTTTCAAGCTTATAGGTTTTTCCCCTTCTCAATATCTTTATTCTGATAAGTATTATTTATTAACTAATTATAATTTGGGACGACGTTATTTAGGTAATGAAGTCACATAAGAGAGGCTTAAGGCATGAGTGTTGTAACAATCGGTGTATGTTTGGATAACATAACCGAAGCAACCGGTCACGTAGCCAACAATTCACGTGCATTTAACAATCCCCGTACATTTATCTGCCGAAAGGAATTTCCGTTAGTAGTGAAAAGTATGTATAAATATTTTAACCCATTCAACAATAGACATTTATGAAATCATGAAGTCATCAAAGACGATAAAAGGAGCTTATATCAAGTCATTAACATTTTAAAACTTTAAGTTTTAATTGACAATAGCTGATGACCACGATTTCGTCCATGTTGGCATATAGAATAGGGATGATGACTAATTTTTTTTAATCGTTTATCAGGTAGATTATCAAAAAGTATTGGACACGTATTTTTCTTTTTTCACATAATATAAACATTGCAGGAGATATATTGATTTGAAAAGTAGCATGACGTCACGTTTGAGTACACTACATAAGGGAAAATTCACTCAAAAGTGACGTCACGAGCCCCAACTCCCAAACTTTGACGCACTATAACTTTGTAATTTTTTGGTTGATTGCCCAAAGGAAAAATACGTGTCCATTATTTTTTGATCATCTAACTGACGGACTTAATAGAATTTCGTTTACTGTACCCCGTCATCACCCCTATTACATTTGGTGGTTAGCCCGACTTCGGGTGCAGGAAAAACATTACTCGAATTCGAGCACCCGAAGCAATATTTACACTGGAATAGAGGAGCTCGATGGCGTGGTTAGCGCGTTCAGCTGCAATCATTGAAGTTAGGCAACTTTGGCAGTGGTCGGTCATTGAATGGGTGACCAAAAATCTTCTATCTCAAGTTCCTCCGTGCAGAAACGCACGGTTGTCGGAAGGCACGTTAAGCCGTTAGTCTCGGCTGCATTTGCAGTCGTTAGCACCCGCCAATCCGCACTGGGCCTGGTCATGGCCCAATCTCCCTATTCCACCCATAGAGAAGGCCTGTGCCCCAGCAATGGAGACATTAATAGGCTGATGACGACGGGCTCAAAGACGGAGCGGGTAACTAAAGCGAAAACTAGCCGAATACGGGCGTACTCAACGCCCTTCATTTACACTGAGTCGTTTACCCGAATTCCATTGGCATTCGTATTCAAGCTAACGACCAAGTGTTGTCGCGCCATGTAGAATGATCGATTTTCCAAACAAACCATCATCCCCTATTTCAGCCATTTCAAGATTTATTTTTGCCTAAAAGTAGGCTTCTCCGAGTTATCTCTACACCAAAATTTATAAAAACTCTTGAATTTACAACATAGTATAGATTTCGTTACCGTAAACCATTACCAATGCTATGATAATTATGTTTTATCAGGTGTGTCTGAGCATTACAAATTAGTTTTCCCAAACAAACTTTCAGCCCCTTTTAATCCCATTTTGCTTTCTCGCCTTTATGTAGCCAATGCCGTTTCACGAAGTCCTCTATACTTCCATACCAAAATTCATCAAAATCTTTGCAGCACTCTTTGTATAATGGCGCAATTACACTTGATCGTTAGCCTGAATACGATTGCCTATGGAATTCGAACAAACGACATGTAAATAAACGGAGTCGAATACGCCCGCCCGTATTCAGGCAGTTTTCCTTTTGGTTGCCCGACGCTGTCTTCCAGCCCGTGTTCGAGTAAAAACAATGTAAATATTACATCGAGTGCCTGAATTCGAGTAATGTCTTTCGTGCACCCAAATACTTGCTAATGACCAAATGTAAATGCACCATAAAAGGCTGAGCAGCAACACACGTGTAGATATAGACAGATTTTATACTCGTGTATTGTTTATTTAATTTATATTTTATACAATACTTAATCCGTATTGAATTGACCCAGAAAAAAATATCGACAAAAGAATACTTAGGTAGAATTACGTGGAAAATATTCCTTTTGGGAAGAAGGTTCTTCTAAATAGATTTAGTAGAGTCTCGAGTTCTCGCAAGTGATAAAAGGCGAACGATTATTATGGAGTAGGTAATAAATAAATACCTACGATCTCAAATTATTAACTGTGTTTATAAACGTTACATAAACATTATGAGATGAACAATAACTGTTATCGAATCGAGCCCGGCACACATATGTGTTGTTGTATTACGCTAACTCATAACATCACTTTCATGCTTGTTCATAATATAAAAAATAATCCTTATTTTTGTATTTTTATACGAGGTGAGGAGCTCGATGGCGCAGGTGGCTAACGCGTTTGGCTGCGATCGTCTAAGTTAAGCAACTTTCGCAGTGGTCGGTCATTGGATGGGTGACCAAAAATCTTCTATCTCGAGTTCCTCCGTGCTTCGGAAGGCACGTTAAGCCGTTGGTCCCGGCTGCATCTGCAGTCGTTAGCACCCGCCAATCCGCACTGGGCCCGCGTGGTGGGTCATGGTCCAATCTCCATATTCCATCCATAGGGAAGGCCTGTGCCCCAGCAGTGGGGACATTAATAGGCTGATAATGATGAAAATGATGATACGAGGCGCAACAAATTACCCCACTCCACCTGATGTTAAATATAAGGGGAGTCCAATCGCGAAAATAGATGATGCGGAAGAAAGTGTGCTGCTCCAGCCATCCTCACCTAGTCGGCCTGAACACAGTCCCCTAGCCCCGTGAGCCCCAAAAAGTTATTTTACTGTGGTATTCGGTACGGTGGTGGGTTGCCACCTTTTTTTTGTCGAAATAAATTACATTGGATATTAAAGGTAGAAAAAAAATACATTGTGTCCAAAATAAAGTACTTAGAAAGTACTTTATTTTGGACACAATGTATTTTTTTCCACTTTATTAGTAAGCTTAAAAATATATTTTACGTTGCTACTAGCAACTTTTAACAAATAATTTCCGGCTACTGTAGTTTTTTTCCGCAATGGGAAAGGTCATGATACAAATTCACACAGCCACGACAATGTACCAGGAATTAGCTAAGGGCAACATATTCATACTTTCTGTCCGTTTTACGTAAAAATTCTTCCTATCAACCTCTTTTTGTATGTTTAATGTAAAATGAATTCGCAAGTAATCAAATCACATAAAATAAAGTATTTTCGCGTACTTTATTGTTGGCATAAATTATAGAGTACAATTACCCGAAATAACGTACAATACTTTATAATAAAGTACGGGTGGCAACCCTAGTTGCTTCCCTAGGCGGGCGACCAATTCGAGCGGAAAATCCGCGTGTCCTTCTTCTCTTATTTCCCTTGGTCACGCCATTGCTCGAGAACAATTTTTCTTATATATATATATTGTTTTACTTTGTAGAAGGCTATATCGAAAAGAAAAATTGAGAAACTTGCGCGGCACTTAAGTTGAGGAAGACGAAGTAAAATGGTAATTTAAAAAATGTGTTTTATGTTTCTATGATCTATGAGGAACCTTTTCTGGTAAAATTATCTTTACATTTATAAATTGAGGAATGTAATGCTTAAAAATTACAATGTAATATAATAGACAGCTTTTACGATGTTTGAAAAAATCCTTTTGCTTTTACTTCCGACTCAAAAAGAGGATAGGTAATCGCAACTTTGCCTTGCGTAGAGCCATTAGTTTTTCCAGAAATTCTTTCTTATTCCGCCGTTTCATGATTCACTTGCTGTGCCTGGCGGTGTTACACGTTGTTTATTAGGGATATTTCCCCGCAGTAAAACGCAGCTCCAGCTACGTCCAAATTTTATTAAAATCGCTCCAGCCGCTTAGACGTGAAGAAGTAACAAACATACACACTCACAAACTTTCGCCTTTATAATATTAGTGTGATTTTAGTGACAAAAATTAGTCTACTTAATATTTATCCTTCCCCAATGTCCCATTTAATTGTAGATCAAAATTTATGAAACTCGATAAAGTGAACGCCTAATAGTCAGACAGACATTTTAACTACCGCATTTATAATTTTAACTATGCACGAACATTATTTGATAACTCCTGATTCCTGAACTCATTTAGCGCAATTAAATTGATAATGTTTCGGTAAATATTAAGCTTAAGGTGTTTTGTAATACTTGCATGTGTACTTACATACTTAACCTTAAATACCACACTCGCTGTATTTGAGGCCAACTCTAAATTAAGTAGCAAAAAGTTATTTTCAACATGCCTGACCGGTCATACGTAAATAAACATAACGTAATAATTAGTCTTCAGTGTCACTAAACTTATTGCATAATAAACTATATGTAAATATATCCCAAGATCTGACTTAATTTTTATAACATAATTTAAGTCAAATACATTTTAGGGTTCCGTATCCAAAAGGAGAACCATACCTTTTATAAACCAGTTCGTCAATCTGTCAGCTCATCATCTGCCGTCTTATGAATCGTTAGTTATAGGTAGCCAGTTAAAATGTCGCAGTCTATTTTTGCCTTTAGAATAAAAAATAAACCAAATTAACACATTCTTTAGCTATATTCTGTTCAATTTAAAAAATTCGATCGTCGATTTGTTTTGCGTTTCGTGCCCAGGGTAAAAACGGAACCCTATTTCTAAGACTCCGCTGTCCGTCCGTCTGTCTGTCTGTCACCAGGCTTTATCCCATGGACAGACAGTAAATTTTTTACAGATGCTATATTTCTATTGCCGCTATAATAACAAATACTAAAGACAGAATACAATAAATATTTAATTTATTTTAATATTTCCCCTACAACAAAAGTGATTTTCCCGGTTTTGCTTGTGATATTAATTACGGCAACAGGTAGACGTTTGACATATTCACAGGATATATGATTGTATATTCACTTTATAAATAAATAATTAAATTAACATACAACAGCTGTGATTTTTTG